ATCTATCTATCTATCTATCTATCTATCTATCTATCTATCTATCTATCTATCTATCTATCTATCATGCCTTCAGTTTTGGTTATCAGGCCATTTCCAAATGTTAATCGTGCTACAAAGAAGATTATTATTCACAAATAGTGAAAAACAGAAAAACAAAATGGACTTTCCTGCAAATTCACAACAAAACAAAGATTAATTATGCTGCTATAGGCTTAGACTTTTATCATTTTGCTTAATTCTATAACTATTCTCCCATTCTGCAGTATTTTATAGTTCAGTCTCTAACATTATGCTCTCTCTGCTTTTTCTAATAGTAGCTTCATCTGGTCTGTTCCTGTCTGGCTGTGACATCATCCTGGAAAGAAATATCAGTTGTGCTGCTGCCATCAATGCTTTGTTTACAGATGTTGGAGCTTGGCCTGTTTTTCAGTGTAGTCCTGTTACTGTGACTAACTGTATGTGCTCTCTTTTTTCTCTGACATGGCAGCTGGCCTGGAGCTCCTCTGCCTGGTTGTGTCTTTTTCTGGACTGGGCTGCCTGTGGAGGTATTTAACAGTTATCTTTTGTATCTCTGCTTCATTCTGCATGTCTGCTTCTGTGTCCTTAAACCCCAGTCGGCCTCAACAGACGGCCGCTCACACTGAGCCTAGTCCTTCTAAAGGTTCCCTCCGAATTTTCCTGTCCACTGTTACTACATGCATGCTTGGTGTGAGGGATTGCTGAAGAGTCAATACAATCAGCTGGTTTTCCTTAGATGGAAAACTGAACCAATCTGACTGCATGATCTGGTTGTATTGTCTCTGTAAAGTGCCTAGAGATGATGTGTTGTGAATTGGTGCTATATGAATAAACTGAATTGTATTCAGGACTCTACAGTCCTCCAATAGCTTGTTAAAGTTTATCACAGTAAGAGGAATACTGAACAGGCTTGTTTGAAAGGGTTTCTATAAGAGAGACTTTTCTCTCAAAAAGAATTGTTTCATCATCATGTAAAGATTTGCATATTTGGGGGAAAAAAATGCTCACCAACCAAGCAGATTATATATAACGAGGAACTGATGGCTTGATATTCTCATTCATGATGTTTTTGGTAAAGAGCATAATTAATGATTCCATTAGTTTTGGAAATTATCCCGTTCCTCAAGCTACCCAATGTGCTCATATTATCACCTCTTCATTGAACGCTTGGAATGACGTTCTTTTTCTGGATGCTTTATTCCAGATGTAATGGGTTACTCGTTCACTTCTAAGCGCCTCTTTTCTCTCATCGACAGAAAGAATATTTTACTCTGAAAATCTTTCATTTTGTTTGCAGTCATCTTAGCCGTGAAACAAGCTCCTAGATGTCATGTTTCCCCACTCTCTGTTTTTTTACTTATGAACACTAAGAATGGGGCTTTAATGAAGGGAAGTAATTACTTTTTCATATCAAGCTTGGTTGATTTGGATAGCTTTTAAATCTCTTAAGATAAAAACATAAAATGAAGGAAAAGTATAAGGTGTTTAATACAGAAAGGAAATACAGACAGATCTACAGAAAGATCCTATGTTAGGACAGCTGTAATGCAACAATATGTCTGTGCTGGTAAAAGAAAGGCATTTAAGTGTAAATTTGTGGTTTTTGCTTTTCAATGCATCAGACTCTGGGATGTAGTAGACTGGGTGTGGAGGGGCTGAAAGAAAGACCCATCAAAACAAAACAGAGCTCAACATTAATCTGACCTACAAAGCTGCATGAATGAATCTCCACCAGCAGCAAAGTCTCATGCATCCACCAACGTGCAATGTGGGAGGAGCTAGGGGTGTTTTCTTCCTGTGGCCTGAGGTGGTCCCACCTTACAACCTGTGGCTCAGACGAGCTCATTGGCTATTTGTCTCTATGGAAACAATCAGGAGCACAATATAAAATATGAGCAAAGAGTGTTGGAAAGGCAACAAAATCCAAAGACAGACAGAGAGGAACAAAGAGACAAAATGGGAAGAATATATCTTAGGTCCTGTATTTAAAGCTTAAGCAGTCAGGATTATCTGCTTTTCTTTAGCACTAGAGAAAGCAAAGAATCAAAAGGGGAAAACACAGAAAAAAGGTAAATCGGATGTAATGCTATGCAAGAGCCTCAAATTCTCTTTAACTTCAAATAAAGTCCTGTTAAATTCTTGTCTTTGATATTTCTTTTTACATTTAATACAATAAAACAGAAAAAAAAAATATGTTCTTATGACAGCAGCAACTAACAACACCCTAAAAACCCTGTTTAAAACTGGTCCTTCATAAGTTTTCAAGTTTTAAGATATGTTTCAATAAGAATGATTCTTGCCTTTGAAATTTGAGCCTGTTTTGTCTGACAACAATTAATTTCTGTGGATTTAGAAAA